ACGAGAAGTGCTTAGGACAGAGCCCAACCTTTAGTAAACACTTGAGTTCTTTGTCATTTTTCTTTGATTACCCATCACTGGAGACACTGGGCTACGCAGAAGTGGACAGGGTATGCTGTTGACCTCAGTGCATAGCATAGAGTCTTTCAGGGTTTGTTCTCAGTGAAATCAGATGTAATAAGACAGGACTTCCTTGAGCTTTGGTGACTGCATTCTGCAGGTGGATAACCTTCTACGTGTTGGTCTATTACAATCATACACATACACACACAAAAAACTAAACCACATATTTCCCTGGTACCAATATTCTTTTATTTTTGTAATTTGAGATGAAAGTCATGTAACTTAAAATTAACCATTTGAAAGTGTACAGTTCAGTGGCATTTAGTTCATTCACAATCTTGTGTAACTACTGCCCTTGTCCAGTTCCAAAATGTGTACATCACCTCCAAAAGAAAACCCCAGGCCCGTTAAACGGTCACTCCTCCCTCCCCTTCCCGCCAGCCCCTGACAACCACCGATCTGCTGTCTCTGTGGATCAATATTCTCCTTGATTCACTCTGATGTTTTCTATTCTACTTTATTTCAATTAAAAACAAAAACGGGAAAACAGCTCCAGGTGCACCACGCTGGTTTCCTAATCCTCTAATGCAGTGCTGCCCATTAGAGTCACCTGGGGGCTTTAACATACTGATTCCCAGCTTCACCCCTGGGTAGCTGAAGTGAGAGTTGGATTTCTGGAAGTTCTCAGGTACCGCTGTACATAGCCAAAGTGAGAACTGCTACCCTGTTTCTCCTCAGTTTGGAAAATACTGGAATGAGACCCAGAATCAGGGAAGTCCAGAAACAAAGCGGGGTACAAAGGAGAGGATAAGGGATGTAGCCTTGCCCTTCTGCTGGCACCCAGCCCTCAGAGTCTGGGCATCCAGACATGGAGGTACTTGAGAGAAACTGGTTGCCATGGAGTCAGTTCCGACTCATGGCAACCTCAAGTGTGTCAGAGTAGAACTGGGCCCCATCAGGTTTGCACTGGCTAATTTTTTTTTTTTTTTTGGAAGTAGATCACCAGCTCTTCCAAGGTGCCTCTAGGTAGATTTGAACCTTCAACCTTTTGGTTATGAGCCAAATGTGTTAATTGTTTGCACAGCTAGGGACTCCAGAGAGTGTGAGACCCTGAAATAAACAGCGGAAGAGAGACAGAAAGTCAGAGGACAGATTTCATAGAACCTCTGGGAGGAAGAGAAAAGGCTGGACAGAAAGAAACAGGAGGCTAGGAAGGGATCCAGAAATGAGACCCAGCACCCCTCAGTTTACTATGTCCTTCTCTTTCAGCTCACCTGTTCTCCAGGACCAGCCCTGCCCTTCTGGCTGGGGCCCAGACCCCGGCCCTGGGAGGCTGTGCCCCCCACCTGCCCTGGCCCCACAGAAGCTGCCCCACAACACGTGCCCCTTCCCTGGCCTGGTGGGGCCTGGAGGTGGGGTAAGACTGAGCCATGGGTTTGGGGGAACCCCTACCTGCTGCTGCCGCCTCTGTCTTGGCTAACCCTTAATCATGCCCCAGGAGCTCCCAAAGCCTGAGACCAGGGCCACGTGGCCCCAACTCCCCGCCTGGCCCTGCTGTTGCGAGTCCGTGTTATTTATTACCTGGAGGCCTGTCCCATCCTCACCCCACGCCCATAAAGCATTGTCTACACCTGTGTCTTGGCCTCCCTTATTTTGGGGATGGCGGGGAACCCGAAGAGGTCCTTGATGGAAGAGTTGGGTCTGTCATGAGGTTTGGGGGCCATTTGTCTGGATTGGACATGGTATGGATACACCGAGGGGTACAGCATGTCTCAGGCTCAGGTGGCTGCTATGGGAGGGAGGGGGTTTGTTACCGTGTGAAAACTTTGTGACTGTGTGTGAGGCTCAAGTGGGTCACACTGATGTTCCTGGGTTTGTGACACGTGTGCATGAGTGTTTCCAGTGCCTGTGTGGGTGACACTTGCTGTTTTATTGCCCTCAGTGATTGTGATTGTATCGATGAAGTTGTTTGTGACACCAAGGCGAGGAAATAAGAACTTGGCCCACTCTCTGCCCGTGATACCTATTTATGTCTGATGCCTGAGTGTGAGGCAGTGTCTGACTCTTGTGTGGGTGACTTTTTTGTGTCCCTGAGGTCTGCATGTGTCTTTGGTGGATTTGCTCCCTTTATACACCTGTGGGGAGCTGTGGTGGCCTAGTGCCTAAGGCATTTGCCTGCTAACTAGAAGACTGGCGGTTCAAACCCACTAGCCACTCCTTGGAAAGAAGCCTGGGCAATCTACTTCCACAGAGATACTGCCTCAGAAACACAAGGAGGAGTCACCGTAAGTTGGAATTGACTCTATGGCAGTGAGGTTTTTTTTTTAATAGACCTGTGTGACCAGGGAGCCTGTGTGTGCCCCTGGGTACCATGTGGGCCTTTGTGCATCCCTGACTTGTGTGTATCTGGGACCCTCCGATACCCACGTAGGCGAACCTGCTTGTGTTTGGTGACCTCCCAGGCACAGTGCAGGCTTCTGAGGCTACTCCCAGCTTCTCCAAGTCGGCCTTAGCCGAGCCTAAACCTACAGGCTGGAGGCCACGGCGACCCCTAACCCAGCTCCGCCTGGGCGTAGGTGAGGGGGCGGAGCATGTAAATCAATCATCTGCATAGCCCCCCAGGCCTGGTCCCCCACCGGGCTCCTAGAAAAATGAGGCTGGTCTGGGGAAAGTATTAGCTACACTGGTATGGTGTTCTCCCAGGTTGTTTATTCTGAGTCTGTCCCCAGGGGGCAAGGCGGGGGCTGGTCAAGCCGAGGAAATATTTGCATAACTCTTCTAGTCGGCTTTCCCTTGCGGACGTTTCATATTCTCCCTTATAAAAAGCACTTAACGCAGATTGCCGATTGCTGTGCTAATTTAAATACATGTCCAACTAACTGTGCATTTTCCCAGTTTCTCATCCCTATTGGACTAAACAGCTCTGGTGGCGCGGTGGCAAATGAGCTCGGCTGCTAATTGAAAGGTTGGTGGTTTGAACCCACCAGCCACTCTGTGGAAAAAAGATGTGGCAATGTGCGTCCATAAAGATTCCACTGAACTCCTGCTATCCAGTTGATTCGGACTCAGTCATATGGACCCTGTAGGGCAGAGTAGAAGCGCCACATAGCGTTTCCCAGGCTGTAAATCTTTGGAAACAAGTCTGCCTCTTTTCTCCCTAAAATGCCTCTATGAGGCAGTTCTACTCTGTCCTATAGGTTCGCTGTGAGACAGAATCCACAGGAGCGCAGTGGGTTTTTTAGTTTATTCTTGGAATACAGGGCGGAGCTCCTCATGCATATGAAATAATTTACACCCCTCTCCCACCGGTCTTCCCGCAGCAATCTTGGCTCTTAAGGAGAGAGCCTGCAGTAAACAACTCATTTGCATACACCTCCCACATTGCTTTGCATAACGCGCGCAGAAACACCCTCTCCCTGATCCCGCCCTTCCTAATTGCGTCCCTCCTCCCGCGCCAAAGGGGCGGAGCTAAGGATGCAAATGAGCCTCGCGTAAGCGTCGGAAACCCCTTTTGGAGGGGGAAGGGTGATCTGAAAGTCCTCGCCCCGCCCCGCGTGGCTCACGCCTGCGCACGCTCCCTCTCCTAGGCCTGGGTGCTGTCACGTGCCCACCGGGCGAGGCGGGGGCGGAGCGCTGCGGGCGGTGGGGGCGGGGTATGGCGCGCTGTGCGGCGCAGGGCGGCTGGCATAAGCGGCGGCGTCGCGGCCGGAGGAAAAAGCTTGGTGAGGAGAACGCGGCGGGGAAAGGGAGCAGAGAGGGAAAGGAGCCGGAGCCAGAGGGGTGGCGCGAGCTAGGAGAGGTGTGGGGCGCACGTCGCGGCACACCGTGACAGACCCTCGCGACCCTGGGAAAAGAGGGTGGGGGTGGGGCAGGGAAGAGGGCGCGCGCCGGGCACGTTGGGTGCGGGCGGTTGCGGGGATTGGGGTGGGAGCGGGAAGCGCGTGCTGGTGGAGGGCGAGGGGAGGGGCACGGAGTCAGAGCGGCCCCTTAGCCCGGTCTCCGCCTCCTGCGGCGCCCCTAGGGCCTCTGGGCCCACACCCAACGGAGTTGGGAGAGGGTCTCGTTTTTCTCGTCCTGACTCCGGGTGCGTGAATCCCTCGTCCTTCCTTCCCTCAGTTGCTATGCACCCTTCTCCCGAGGCCCTCTTCCGTTGGTCCGTCTGTCTCTGGACCTCCCTTCCGTCCGAGTGTATGTCTGCCCCAGCAGGCTTCCTCCCATTGGACTCAGGTCGACCCCTCCACCCCGTTCTGTCTGGCAGTCCCAGGCCCAGCCCCCAAGCTTCCCTCCGGTCTGTTTTTCTGTCTCTGGGCCCCTAATTCCCTTTGTCTCTAGACTCCCCCTCATTTCCTCTGTCCCTCTGGAGACCCCATTCTCTCTGTGTCTCCATGGAACCTCCAGGTGGGTCCTTCCCGCTCCCCACTCTTCCACTATTACTTAGATCTCCTCCCTCTTCCCTGTTGGTCTAAGGATACTCTCTTCCTTGGCCTCCATCCCAGACCTCTGTCGTTGGGTCATCTAACCAGCTCCTTTCCTCCAGCTACCCTCCCAAAACTCCTCTTGTCACCAGTCCCTACCCCCTGAATTCTCAGGGTCTCCCCCTCAGTTGAGCTCCCTCTCTCCAAGTCGGCCCTGGTTGTCTTCTGCTCCTATCATGCCCCCCTCTCTGCCTCTGTGAAGCCCCTCACATTCCTTTTTCTCTCTTTCTCCAGCCACTCTGACCGGTCCCTTCCCAAGCCTCTAGGGACAGCAGAGGACTCGGGGACCAACTAGCACTTCTAGGACACAGGAAGAGTCCCAGCCTTGCCTCATCCTGACCCACACCAGACCCAGCTGCCCCGGCCCCCGGCTGCATCAGTGGAGGAGGAGGTGGTGGAGGAGGGTGGCACCATGGGCCTGGGCCGTGTGCTCCATGCCCGGGGGATGAAGACGCCGCTGCCATGGACAGCCCGTGCCAGCCAAAGCCCCTGAGTCAGGCTCTCCCTCAGTTGCCGGGGTCTGCACCTGAGCCCTTGGAGCCTGGCCGGGCCAGGATGGGGGTGGAGAGTTACCTGCCCTGTCCCCTGCTGCCCACCTACCACTGTCCAGGAGCATCTGGTGAGGCCTCAGCAGGAAGTGGGACCCCCAGAGCCACAGCCACCTCCACCTCGACCAGCTGTCTGAGGGAGGGCTTCGGCGGGCAGGATGGCGGTGAGCTGCGGCCACTGCGGAGTGAAGGCGCTGCGGCACTAGTCACCAAGGGGTGCCAGCGACTGGCGGCTCAGGGTGCCCGGCCTGAGGCCCCAAAGCGGAAGTGGGCAGAGGATGGTGGGGATGCCCCTGCACCCAACAAACGGCCCTGGGCCAGGCAGGAGCACCAGGAGGCAGAGGAGGAAGGTGGCAGGGCCTGTGGCAGTGGCAGCGGTGAGGCAAGTGCCGGGCTGAGGGCAGAGGCGCTGCCCGCCACACATGAGCGCCTGGCCCTGGACTACATTGTGCCCTGTATGCGGTACTACGGCATCTGCGTCAAGGACAGCTTCCTGGGGGCAGCACTGTGTGGTCGGGTGCTGGCTGAAGTGGAGGCCCTTAAGCGAGGCGGGCGCCTATGTGATGGGCAGCTCGTGAGCCAGCGGGCTATCCCACCACGAAGCATCCGTGGGGACCAGATTGCTTGGGTAGAAGGCCATGAGCCAGGCTGCCGGAGCATCGGTGCCCTCATGGCGCATGTGGATGCGGTAATCCGGCACTGTGCTGGGCGGCTGGGTGGCTACATCATCAACGGGCGCACCAAGGTGAGGCTGTGCAGGGGGCCTTGTGGATGGAGAGGTGTCGGAGCTGTTTAATTGGATGCTCAGTGTGTTCAGCAGGAGTGAGTTTGGGCAAAGACTTCTGGGATCACAGAAGGGTTTAGAAAACCCTGGTAGAAGGGGTGTTAGAGGAACCTGCGGGTTCTCACCTGTGGGCACTCGGAGGGTCTGTGCACTTTCCCCCTGTAGGCTTCAGATCTTTGGCCAGTACCACAGTGGTTCTTGACTTTGCCGGGATCCTCCTGAAGAACCTGAAGGGAGGTGTGGACATGTACAGCCCACCTGTGGCCCCTGATGGCCCCTGGTGATCCTTCATGGGCCCCAGACCAAGAACAGCCGATTCAGACAGACATGTGTTTCTGTTCCTGGATGTCCATTTGTGCCTATCTGTCCTTACCTTCATCCTTCCCCTGTCCTACACCATCCATCCCGTCCCCCATCTGTCTCTGGTCTGTGCATTCCTCTCTGCCCTGGGCAGGAGCACCAGGAGCGGGAGGGTGGCAGGGCCTGTAGCAGTGGGGAGGCAAGTGCTAGACAGAGGGAGGAGGTACTGCCCGCCGTGCCTGAGTGCCTGGCCCTGGGCCACATTGTGCCTTGCGTGCAGGACTGTGGCATCTGTGTCAAGGGCAGCTTCCTCAGCAGTCCTCGGCACCCGAGTGCTGGCTGACATGGAGGTCCTGACCTGTTTTGTTGCTGCTCCCATCTGACCGTGTCCATCCTTTCTGTCCCGTCTGTTCACTTTGTTCCCGTCCTTCTCTGGTCTGTTCGGGTTCCATCTGTCCCCATCTTTCCTGTCTGTTGTGTCTGTTCTTTTGACCTTCTGCCCCATGTGTCTTGTCTTGGTCCCCTTTCTTTTTTAGGTTTAGACTGGTAGTTCTTAATTCATTTACGGATCTGGGCCCTTTGAGAATCTGCCAAAAGCCACAGACCCTCTTGTAAGAAAAAGTCTCATTTGATTGAAGTTTACAGGCAGTTGCCAGGACCCCGTGGGCTCCAGCTGGGCCCAGGAGCTCCGAGCAAGTCTGTGGTCTGTATGGCTTTCTGACAGCTGATGTGACCATTCTCTTCATGGATGAGTGTGAGGAACTGGCTTGTGTCCAAGGCTTGTTGAGGCCCTGTAGGCACGTCCAGTGAGGCCTGGCTGATGTCCGTTTCTTCCTCCTCAGATCCCATCTTGGGTTCTGCTTATGTTAAACTTCTCTGTGGCCAGAGCTGGCTCTGAGAGCAGAACTCCCCCCCAGGGCCCAGGCCTGTTTCCTTCCCACCCCAGCTGGAATTTGTCCTACTTCCCTCAGCGTCTGTTACTCGATAGTTGGTGAGCCTGCCCCTCCCTAGGCTGGACTCCTGGGCAGGCGAGATCAGTGTGAGCCATTGTCCTGGTGCTCAGCATCTTCACCTGGGTTTTGGGGGGAGTGGCGGGTGTCTTGTGGATCGGCAGAGGTGTGGGCCTCAGTTTGCTCATCCCTGGAGCAGGAAAGGCAGGTGAGGCTCCCAGTCAGCCTGTAGTAGTTTTAGGAAGGAAGGAGGCTCAGGAGGGTGGAGGGAGCAGGTCTCTTCTCTGGTGCCCACCTGGGACATGGTGAGGGACAGGGCTCTGGTTAGAATGGGGAATGCTGGGACATTTTAGCCCTGGGTGACCCTTATTGCCCTGGGAGGTAAGAACAGGCCAGGGAGGACCGGGGAGGAGAGAGCAGAAGCCAGCCCAGTCACTGGATTTCTCTCAGACTGTCCCCCTACCCCATGAGACTGCCTTCAAAGGACAGCTTCTGGACTCCCACCTCAGCCTCTCGAATAAGACATTGGGGGTTTTGAGGTGGCTGGTAGCCACCACAGTCGTGGTAGGGGCTGGTAACAACTTGCCCCATGGTCATGCTGAGTTCCTCTGCTCATTTGTTCTGTAGATAAGACAGAGGCCCCAAGGACTGCTACCGAAAGGGACCCCAGGAAGGACCTGGCTGGCTTAGTTTGTCTCTTTAAGAGCAGCTTGGAGGTGGGGCCTGCTGTCAGTGGCTCATTGCCTGGTTCTGACTGTGTGTGTGTGTGTGTGTGTGTGTGTGTTTGGAGGTGGGGGCTCCTGGCACATTGTTTTAACTTTTTTATCTCCTGGCTCTGATGCCAGCTGCTCCCATCCAGGAGTGGATCATGCTCACAGTACCCCCCATCCCCAATTTCCTTGTGTCTTGGTTGCCCTTGACAACTGACATGTCCCTTATCAGGAGCTGGAAGTAGGTGTTTTCCTGGGGCCTGAGGTGTGTGCTTGTGAGGGAAGGGTGGGGCCTTAAAGGGCAGGTTCCTGCTTCTGTGCCAGCCTTCGTGGTTATGTCCTGTTGTGTGCTCCATTCCCTATCAGGGTGCATCGTGGGGGGAACCTTGTGTAAGGGCACGCGGGTCTTAGGCCCTGAAACCCTTCTGTCATTCAGCAGATACTGCCAGGCCTTGGGGAGACCAGGACAGTAAACAAGTTGCTGTGGTGATTTGACTGTGGGATGAGTAGGTTGGGAAGTCAGCCAGGGTGCCTTCAGTTAGAGCACTCCAAGAAGGCCTCTTGCAGGAAGTGACCCTTGGCCTGAGACCTGAAAAACAAGGAGGAACAGGGCCAAGAGGGTTCTAGGCAGGAGGACCAGCAGGTGCAAATGGCTTGAGGTGGGGAAGAGCTTGGCCTGTTCAGAGGACAGACTGGAGGATGGAGCAGAATGAGTGAGGGGGAGATAGAGTATATGAGGTTGGTGGTGGTTGGTCACTCGGCCTTGGTGGCTGTGGTTGGAGTTTGTTTTCCCGTTGACTGCAGTGGGGAGCTGGCTGTTGTGTGGGGTGGAGGGTGGTGGGAAGAGATGGTGCTGGGGAAAGCACTGCACTGCAGCCCCCACCCCACCCACTTATAGAGCTAGCATTATCTGAGCTTGGAATCCTGCCAGGAGAGCTTGTCCAGCCCCAATTGGGGTGATTCCAGGCTCCCTCCCCCACCCAGGCCACATTCTTTCCTCCCAGGGCAGTAGTTGCTCAGAGAAAGAAGGCTATCCTGATGGGGGAGTGTGGAGTGTGGGGACTGGGCTGCCAGGGAGAAGCTGGGCTTCCTGCCTGCTGGGTGGCCTTCAATCTGGCAGCCCTCCTGGGCTCTTTTGCCATCTTAAGTTGGGCCCTCGCAGGGCAGGTGTTGTGATGGATCAGGTGCGCGCTGGTGGATGAGGCATCCACACCATCTTTTTTTCATGCCTGATCCCTGCCAATAAGGGGTTGGGAGGAGGCCTGGGAGGAAGCTGAGGGACTGAGTCAGCCAGGCCTGCCGTGGAGTGCTTGGCATGCCTCCTGTTTTGGCAGCAGACACACATCTGTTTGATTCTCAAATGTTTATTTCATGGCTATTTTCCTGGGCCATGGCTCATGACCTACAAGTGTAGCTGGCATGAGTGGGGAACAACAGCCAACAGAGTTGTCCCTGGGTCAGGGGGTTACAACAGATGGTCCCCAGTTGGGGAGAAGCTAGAGCCTTGTGCTGGTGGTTCACCCCTATTTGCCTGTTTTCCTCATCCAGCCCTGTTGGTGGTTTTGTGCAGTAGGTAGAATGGGGCCTTTTTTTTTTTTTTTTTTAAGAAAATAATGTCATTTTACTCTGTCTTTTGGTTCTCCCAGACATTGATAATCTTGTTCAGTTCCTGCCAACACCTGAGAATAGCTGTCAACTCTGTTTGTATATGGGTAACTTGAGATGGGGGTGTGAAATCACCATCCTGACATCACACAGTCATGCGACAGACAGCACTGAAATTTGTACCCAGGAGTTAGGTCTGCAGGAATGGCTGGCTCCTCCCTCCCACCACAACCACCTTTCTGTCAGCTCCCTGATGGGGAAACAGACCCGGACAGTGTGGGGCCCAGGCATTGGCAGGGGCAGGGGTGTGGCAGCTGTCAGGAGAAGGAAATGAGAGCCTGGTGGCCACACGTGTACACACAAGCTCAGGACTGGAGTGAGTCATACTGTTAAGATCTGCCTTA